ACGGGTGTTAGTGACCGTCAACAAGCTCCCCCAAGCTACCCATTTGCTGTCCTCAGCAAAGATGCGGGTTTAGCATGGAATAGGTGTTGGATCAGGAGTTGCTACTATGTAACGCCCTGCAAAGACTTGTATACAAACAAATACTATCTCTTGAGTTGAACATGTTAGCACTTAGACATTTCACCATCAGTCTTAGCAATGTGGGACTTATAGCTTTCACCTTGACACAAGCAATTGCAAGAATGTGTAGCTAGATAGATACTTTTTACCTACTTTCGTTCAGCTCAAACTTTCTGGAGGTTTTCAACAGATTTTGAAAAGAAATCTTGCCTAAGTTCCTCAGATGGTACACTCAAGTGACTTAATGGTGATTCAAATCCTCACCAAGGCCATGAATTTTAGCCTTAATTTCTATCCTAAAGCTTATGTGGAGCTCAAGGTAGGGGGTAAAAGCATAGCTTACTTGAATTGAATATATTGCTAAGTCAAACACTTGGATCACAAGGAGCAACAAATCATATAAATTGATCAAGATGTGCATGTGTGTGGTATATTTGGTGGAAGTGGTACTCCTTTGAGAAGTTTTCCTTCTCTAGCTTCTTTTTGAGAGGGCATGGCTACTTTCTTTCTCCCTCTCTCTTTTTGAACACTAGAGCTTTTTGCTCTTTTTTCTTTCTCACTCTTTTTTTTCTGTAGCCCATGCCTCTCTTTTTTATGTAAGATAGCTAGAGAGGTAACTTTGATTATCATAGAGTAATAACGAATGGAAAGCCTATGTAGTTGCGTATTCCCAGTGTAGGAATAGCATGAATATGTGGGTGTATGTGATCTTGATCAAAAAGCTTGAAAAGTTTCTCTACTCAGATCAACAAGGCTTGAAAAAGCTCAAAACAAACAAGCAGCTTTTATGGTGGCTTTATCATGTATGAATGGAGTTTGTTTGGCTCTTGTAGGAATTTATCACCATTGAGGAACATCTAATAAGAGAGTTTTAACATTTAGAAAACAAAACTCTAGGTTGTTTTTACCATTCCTCAGATAGGTTCAAAGATTTATTTTAATCATGGCTACAACATATCTCATAAAAGCCTATACATGGTTCTAGCATTTGCAACCCACAAAAGCATTCAACTTAAGATGAACTCTAAGTTATCATGCTCAAAACTTAAGAAGTATAAGGTTATATAACAAGCTTTTGCAAAGTATCACAGAGCAACTATTCATCATCTCCAAATAATTTATCATCATGTTATTAGAGCAGAGTTTCTCTCGAGATAAATTTAAGGCACTCCTCTCTATATTTTATGATCATGAATATTGTAATTTAAAGGAAACATGAATGTAAAGAGATGGTTTAAGATTTTCATACATGAGCGGGGAGAGATATCTCCCCCAAGCTTGCCTTTTGCATAGGTTGGAATGTCTTCTGGCGGCTCTTTTGATTCTTTTCTTTATTGACTAACTAATACTACTAGAATGCATAAATGACTAAATAACTAAACCTATTACTACTAGATAACTTATTCAGTATGACTACTACTGAATTTTATTCATTATTATTATTAAATATTTATTTTTTTCATATGTTGTTTTAAATGCAAATCTATCCTATCATGCATTAGCTACTACAAAACTTTATTTATTAACATAGAGTAGCTAAATGCAACTAACCTATCATGCAATGCAAATTTATTGAAAATCTAAATGAGATGCAACTAATGAAATGCAGTAAATAAATGTAAGGGATAGAAAACTTACCTTTTTGTCGGGCTCAAGGTCATTCGTCCTTGGGCGGAGGTGTTTCCTCTTATTCTACCTCGGAGGCCTTGTCAGGATCAGGGGATGACGAGTTTAAGGACGGATCTTTCTTTTTACGCCATCTCTTTCTATTCTTCTTCTTGATAGGTTTCTCCGGTTCTTCAATCGGCTTTGGTTTCTTCATCTTGATTCTCTTCGGATGCTTTTTTTCTGTTTCTTATCAAAGAGGGGTTGTCTAGAGGTAAAAGCAAATATTTTTTTTCTTCTAGCAAAGTGGAATTGGATTTGTCTAGAAGCCACATATATGCAAGCATTTGCAATGTTAAGGAAGGGACGACCAAGGATTAAAGTTGTATCCTCGGCTTTGCCCATGTCTAAGATCATAAAATTTGTAGGAACATAAGCACTCCTGACTTTAACTAGTAAGTCTTGCTTATGGTCAAACATAGTCTCTGGCTGCATGCTATGTCTGCATAGGCTATTTAGCCGATAGCTTGTGCTTTCACAATCGTAATATGTTTTCATGATTCCATTAAGCGCGTATAGATTCGTATTCTTTGAAGATTTAATCTGTTATCTTTATCATGGATATATCGGTCCGACTCGAACCCCACTGTTAAAGATAATAGATTAGATTTGATAGGTGTATGGATTTATCCACGTTTAATAGTCGAGTATTTGCATGTTGCGAGTCTTCTTTCACTGGAATCGGCTATTTTAGCCGATAGTCTACCCATCGAGAATATATATTGGCTATTCCTATGCTTTTACTTGTTTTTGCCTTGGTTAAAAGCTAATATGTTTCTCAATTAGTATGAATGCTCTCACACCTATCTTTTTATATCTTTAGCATGTTTCCATGATCATCGGCTAAGTTAGATCTATGCAATTGAGTAAATGATAATTGTTGATATGCTCGATTTTTGCTTATCATGCATCATGAACATGCTGGATATCAACTCTCTAGTCGATAGCTTTATTTCGTCGGCTACTTAGCCGCACATTTGGAACTGTTTGGACAAACGCCGGCATGTTCCACCTTAAATTACTGATCAATCTTGTCTCCTTGTCAATTATAGGGTCAAATTGACTGGCACGTCCTAGGTCACGACCATCCGGTCCAATGTCCTCCTAAGTCCGGAGAGAGCTCGAGATCTGCTCCACGTGGTTTCTCTCGGCTTGCTAGCGTGTCGGCGACGGGGATCGACTCATCACCTTTTTCGCCGTCGACAAACCTAAAATTTCGGAGCCAGATGTGAGAGCATATGTGATGACAATAAGTGCTCAACGTAACCTGCAGCTTAACAAATAGCGGCCTTCAACAATAGTTTCGGTGGATCAAGTGATGCATTGAGTGGAGCTAGCTAATGAGGCTAGTGGTGATGCGGGCAATAGAGAAGATAATTGATGCATTTCTATGTTTTATTTGTGTTTGTGAATTTATATTGTGATGACATATGTGATTGATCAACCATGTCATTTAAATTTGAATTGATGTGTTTGGATTTGTGGATTTGAATACTAGTCATTTGTATGAACTTATTTTTTTTAAAAATTATGTGGTATCAAACCAATAGAATACACATAGTAAGTGAAAAATATAAAGAGAAAAACAAGAGGCATTGATTTAGGGCTCTGAAGGAGTTTATTAATCTAAAAAAACAGGACCTAACCCGTTCGTTTGAACTTATCAGCCCGGCTTATCAGTCATGGTACAGTATTTTTCTCTCACAATAAAACAGCATCAGCCGGCTTATCAGCCGTAGAAACCATCAGCCGAACATCTTAATGATACTCTCAGGGCGTTTGGACGGACGGACGCGGATTCCCCACTCCCGTCCGCACCCCTTCCGCCCAATATGCCTGCTCCCTCGATGCTCCCCTAATGGCTTCTACATCTAAACAGGATGTCGATTCCCCATTCTAGTGCTGCCGCTCATGCTCTCCCCGACCTCGCTCTCCTCCCTGCTCCTGCTCCTCTCCCTCCTCCGCCTTGGCTCCACGCCGCCGCCGCATCCCGCTCTCACCATTCCCCCTTCTTCCCCGCTGTCCATGGAGGAGAAGCAGCATCAGCGGCAAGCTCCCGAGGTCGCATGCCTGTTGTCTCCCCTTCTCCAGCACACCGCGGTGCCGCCTTGCCGTGGGACCATGCGCCGCCTGTCCTATTGCCAGGAGCGACGCAGCCGCTCATCGGGGCCACACAGCCACTCGTCAGGGCTGCACCCAGCCGCCCGCCCACTGGAACACCCCCCTCCCCGCGCGACTCCGCGGCATCGATCTCCGCTTCGACGAGCCTCCATTCGTCCAAGCAGCAAGTAGATGTTGCGCTTGAAAGCGCATGTTGCAAGTGTATGTTTCAAGTGTATCAGATGTATGTTGCAAGTGTTTCATATGGATGTTGCAAAACTAGATCGAGATGTTGCATATGTTGTAATGGTTGTACACATATGTTGCAAACACCTGTTCTAAATGTTTCTTCTATTTTTTCAGACTATGTTTATAATTATGTTTATCTAGATGTTGCATGTGTTTCACACATATATTTGAATGTGTTTTATTTGGATGTTGCATATATTTAGCAATGACCTTTTCAACCGTTTTTCAAGTATTTTTACAAGTGTTTCAGACGTGCGTTGTAAGTGTTTCAGTTGTTTTGAACGTACGTTGCAAATATCTCATTTAGATGTTTCAAAAGTAGATTGGGTGTTGCATCTCCCTCCTCGTCTTCTACTGCCTCGCCTCGGTGTCTCCTCCTCTTCTTGATGATGGTAGATGTTCAGACGGCGTGGGGCCATGTGGGGGTGGGCGGTGTGGGTGGGACGAGTTGTTCGAGCAGCGTGGAATCCGAGCGAGTAGGGCGTGCGGCATGGAGCAGGCGCGAGGCACATGGGGAGCTGCGTCTGGACACGGATGTAGAGCCAGACTTCCGGACGCTAGCACGACCGATTAAAAAAGATTATTGATTTAGGGCTTTGAGATTGGCATGATGGTATATTACAAGAGCCGTGGCATCACCCAAATCCGACGTGGCAGGGAGCCAGGGGCTCGTAGCGCGACCAAGTGAGCTGCACGATGCTAGAGTGGGAGACGCCTCCTAGAAAGAGCTGCGACGCGATGACGGCACGGTCCCACCAGGCTGATTCCGCAAGTAGTAGATCGATCACTCTCCAGTGGCAGTCTCCCCACACACAAGCACCAACCCCTCTCACCGGCCGCAACCGACCTCCCCTCGAGGCGACCGCATGGCGGAGCCGGAGCGGGAGCGGAAGCGGGCGGCGGAGGAGCGGGTGAGGCGGAAGAGGGGCAGGAAGAGGAGGAAGAGGGAGGGGAGGGAGGGGGAGAGGCAGGTGGGGTGGAGGAGCGACCCCATGGAGGCGCTCGGGGAAGATGTGATGGGGCGGGTGATGGAGTTCCTGGACGCGCGCAGCGTGGCACGATGCACCGCGGTGTCCTGCGCATGGCGCGGGGTCGCGGCCGACAACCGCCTCTGGGCACCTAAGGTTCGGTTTCGGGCCTTCCACTGTCCTCTCGCACTCCTTATATTTCGCGTTTGTTGGCCTGCGCTTTTGCGCGCGCAAGTTAGTAGTTTGTGGTGCTCCTGCTCCTGCTCCTGCTCGACGAATTGCTCCGCGGTGAGGAGAATAGGAAGCCTTCAATTCCCTCGAGCAATCGATCGAGTACCTTGGTGCTCAAGTTCGCTGGTCTGGAGTGAAGAAAACCCCCAAATTTCGTAAGCTAGAAGCGCAAAGGACATGCATTGACTGACCTGCACAGCTGTTTACTGACATGGCACAAGTTTATGTACCGGGCGTTACTTTTGGTTTTGTATTTGTAGTTTTTGCGTAGGCCCCTCCTTTCCAGCAGCGAGCTACTGTCGGTATCGATATCATTATATGGTTTCCAAAAACGTTGGTGCTGATTCAGTCCATAGTGGTGAATGAAGCAAGCTTATGTGACATTAACGTTTCCAAAGAAAGAAGCTTTAAGTGGCACTGACATGGTGGAGAAACAATTGTTTGTTTCATGGACCATGGGTGATTGTACTTCTTTTTTGTCCCAAAATAATTTCACAAATATAGACATAAGAAATGGTATGAAAGGAAATATATCCATTGAATCTATCTTTACATTTTTTTTGTTTTATGTATAAATTTTTATTTTTCGCTTCGTTGTAATTTTCTGAATCATATGGGTTTTCAGCAAAATATATGTTGTCCAATACATTAATCATGTTTGTACCAGGGGTCGCAAAAGTTGACATGGCACTGACTTTGTTAAACTGTTTTTTTAATGGACTTTGTTAAACTGTTCATGGGACGTGGTTTGATAATTATAATACACTAATACACCAATAAGACCATTAATAGTAGTTAAATGACTAATTTCACTTGACCATCCTGAATAATTTGTATTCTTGGTTGTCTTGATGATTATGAAATTTTGGCATATTAAAATTTTAAAGTCTCTGCTGCCCTAAAAGAAGACTGAAAATTGTATCAAAATTTGAAATCTGCTTTTCAGTTTCTTTAATTTTCACTCTGACAAATGGCAAAACAGTCACTTATGTTAACAAAAGTCGAATCTCCAATATAACATACTAGAGTTGAAAAATGTAGGACTTGATTGCATTTCCTTCTAGAGCAAGGAAATAAAAATGTTAAATACCAAAACTGAAACTAGGCAGACCATATTGGAGGAAAAAAGTGGGTGCAGAAGAAAACTGTGGCAATATGTATATAGCTGTATTTTTTTGCTCATGATATACAGCAGGTCCTAATCATTTTGCTTGTAGTGTGCTGAATTGATGGCGGGAAAGGCTCATATCCCACGTTTAACATTGATCTGCACTGGATCCAAGTTGTCTACATATTCAATGGCCATTATGGATGGGAAACGGGTGAGTACAAGCATTTTTTTTCATCTGTAGGATCAACAGTGCAGTGGATGAACATCAATAGGATGCATAATGTATTGTGCTGTACTCTGTATTTTTACCATGGCACTTGAAAAGATCATCTTGTAGATCATCGATATTGCAGATTCTGGGAATAATGCTAGTTATATTGTTTACACATCTCTTTTATTTTGTTTCATTCATATATACAGTGGTAATTGTGGGGAAGTTCTCTTTGGTCATCTATTTGATTTATCCTGAAGCTGAAAGTAAACTCTTAAGTACATACATTTCAGTTCTCCATCACTCTCAACATAAACTACATCATTCTTTTGTTCAGAGTCGGATCACAAAAGAGGATCTCTGTGATCATGCGTGGGAATATCGTTTCACAATAGTAAGTTTTTTGCTAAATTGCCTCTTTTTTCTTGTTTGAATTTTGAACTATGAGCTTATATGGCATTGCATATTTAAATTCTTTTTGTGGTTGCTACTGTACAACTGACTCTGCTAGTTTTGAGTTCAACTGGTTTTAGTCAGTAACAGTCTGATGGATGCATGGGATCATGACAACTGTCAACGTCTCTCTAGCTTCTTCAGATGTTGTAGCTTCCAAACGCATTGAGGCAGAGTTGATGCATACATCTTCATGGTGGCAATTAAAGGTTATAACTTTGATACACTGATTTGGTCAATGTCTCAAGGATGACTTTTGATTAACACATCTTGTTCAGATCCATACAGACACGGCGCTGCTCCTTGCAAAGGAGGATGCTGAGTGCTGGTGTTTGACAGGAGCGAAGGGCCTCTCCCTGCTCACTGCCACAGGGGTCTCTTAGGTGTTTTTGTTTTTTGATCCAGTCGTCTTTCCCTTTAAGTTTCAGGTGATTAGTCTCTCAAGTTATTAGGAGGTGTGTGTGAGTAGCCAACTCCGCCTATGTTGTCTCAACATAGCAGGTCCCAAGCCCTGTAAAGGAGGAGGGTTGTGATAGGCGTCGCGAGCCAACGTTAAATCTAGCCATTCTAATGGAGATGAAACCCGAAAGAAAACCGTTGGGGCGTAAGCCTCTTAGCGACGCGCCATATCGGAACCCGGGTATGGTGTTAAATGGGCAAGGGCCGGGTCGGCACCCCCTTGGTGACGCGCCATGTCGCGATCTGGGCATGGTGTCAAGTGAGCAAGGATCGGGTCGTCGCTTCCTTAGTGACGCGCTACATCGGCGCCCGGGTGTAGTGAAAAATGAGCAAGGGTCTTCACATCTGAGTCGACGGGTGCGAAGGGTAAGGAAGCTAGTCGAACCAACTAGGATCCGTTTACGTAGTTGGAATATAGGGTCGCCTACAGGTAAGTTAAGAGAATTAGTTGATACCGTGACTAGGAGGCGTGTAAATATATTATACGTTCAAGAGACTAAATGGAAGGGTCAGAAGACGAAGGAGGTGGACAGTACATGTTTCAAGCTTTGGTACATAGGGACAATTCGCGAATAGAAATGTAGTAGGAGTTTTGATTGATAAGAGCCTCAAGAATGGTGTGGTGGGAGTGAGAAGGCAAGGAGATAGGATTATCTTAGTCAAGCTTGTCGTTGGTGATATGGTCTTGAACGTAGTTAGTGCGTATGTCCCCAAGTAGGCCTCGACGAGAGTGTTAAGAGACAGTTCTGGGAAGACTTAGATGTCCTGATTAGAGCTGTACCTAGTAGTGAGAAGCTTTTTATAGGGGGAGATCTTAATGGACATGTAGGTACTACAAACGCAGGTTTCGAGATAGTTCACGGAGGTTTTGGATATGGTAGTAGGAATCAGAAGAGGGAGGAAGTTCAGGACTTCGCGGTAGCTTTTGACCTGATGATAGCTAACAGTTTCTTTAGAAAGAGAATCTGATCTAGTGACCTTCAGTAGCGGACAACACTCTAGCCAGATGGGCTTTGTCCTCGCAAGAAGAAAGGACAAACGAGCATGCTTGGGTTGCAAGGTGATACCAGGGGAGTGTTGTTTCTCAACATAAGTTTTTGGTGGCAGACTTTCGTTTTTAGGTGCATGCCTGTACGAATAAACAAGCTAAGATTAAAAGAACAAAGTGGTGGAAACTAAAAAGGAGACGTCAAAGGTATTCAGGAAAAATGTTATCAAAGAGGGCTTTTGGAAGAAAGAAGAGGACATAAACAACATGTGGGAGAAGATGGCAATCAACATTCGGAAGGTGGCCTCAGAGGTGTGTGGAGTAACCAAAGAAAGTGGAGGCGAGGCTAAAGATACTTGGTGGTGGAACGAGGAAGTCCAAATGGCTATTAAGGAGAAGAAAGAATGCTATAGACGCTTGTACCATGACAGGAGTGTGGACAACATAGAGAAGTACAAGGTGGCAAAGAAGACTGCAAAGCGAGCAGTGAGTGTGGCAAAGGATAGAGCGTATGAGGATCTTTACTAACATTTGAGTACGAAGGAAGAAAGGACATTTATAGGATGGCTAGGGTTCGTGAGGGAAAGACAAGGGACTTCAACCAAGTTAAGTACATTAAGGATGAAAGGGAACATCTCTTGGTGAAGGAGGATGAGATTCGACATTGATGGTAAGAGTATTTTGACAAATTGTTCAATGGTGAGAATACGGACACAACCTTTCAGTTGGATGACTCTTTTGATGACACCAATAGGCGTTTTGTGTGGAGAATAAAAAATCTGAGGTCAGAGAGGCGTTGAAAAGAATGAAAGGTGGTAAGACGATGGGACAGGATGGTATCCCAATCGAGGTGTGGAGATGCCTCGGGGACATAGCTATAGTATGGCTAACCAAGTTGTTCAACCATATTTTTCGATCGAACAAGATGCCTGATGAGTGGAGGAGAAGTATATTGGTACCGATCTACAAGAATAAAGGGGATATTCAAAATTGTACTAATTACCGGGGAATTAAGTTGATGAGCCATACTATGAAGCTATGGGGAGAGTTATCGAGCATCGCTTGAGAGCAATAACGCGGGTCTCTATAAACCAATTTAGTTTCATGCCCGGAAGGTCAACCATGAAAGTCATTTTCTTAATAAGACAAGTTATGGAGCGGTATAGGGAGAAGAAGAATGACCTACACATGATTTTTATTGACTTGGAGAAGGCTTATGATAAAATACCAAGGAATGTTATGTGGTAGGCTTTGAATAAACATAAAGCCCCAACGAAGTACGTCGGGCTCATTAAGGACATGTACAACAATGATGTGACTAGTGTTCAAACAAGTGATGGAGACACGGATGACTTCCCGATTTGGATAGGACTACATCAAGGGTCAGCTTTGAGCCTTTATCTGTTTGCCTTAGTGATGGATGAGATCACAAGGGACATACAAGGGGACATCCCTTGGTGTATGCTTTTCGTGGACGATGTAGTGCTAGTTGATGAAAGCCGGACATGAGTGAATCAGAAACTAGAGTTATGGCGGGAGACTCTGGAGTTCAAAGGTTTTAGACTCAGTAGAACTAAAACTGAGTATATGAGATGTGACTTTGGCACTACTACTCGGGAGGAGGAAGATATTAGTTTGGAAGGTCAAGTAGTGCCTATGAAGGATACCTTTCGATATTTAGGATCAATGCTACAGAGAAACGGGGATATTGATGAAGATGTTAGCCATAGAATCAAAGCAGGGTGGATGAAGTGGCGCCAAGCATCCGGTGTCCTATGTGATAAAAGGGTACCACAGAAGCTAAAAGGCAAGTTTTATAGAACGACGATTAGACCTGCTATGATGTATGGTGCAGAATGTTGGCCTACGAAAAGACGACATGTTCAACAGATAAGTGTCGTAGAAATACGTATGTTGCGTTGGATTTGCGGTCATATAAGAAGGGATCGAGCTCGGAAAGATGATATACGTGATAGATTATGGATAGCATCAATTGAAGAAAAAGCTTGTCCAACACCGGTTAAGATGGTTTGGACATGTCCAACGGAGACCTCCAGAGGCACCGGTGCGTAGTGGAATCTTAAGTCCAGGATAGTAACATGAAGAGAGGCAGAGGAAGACCAAAGTTGACTTGGATAGAGGCAATAAAAGGAGACTTGAAAGGATGGAATATACTTAAAGACTTAGCCTTAGATATGAGTGCTTGGAAAACAACTATTCACGTGCCTGAACCTTGATGGCTTCTGCTGGGTTTCAACTCTAGCCTACCCGTGTGTGTGTGTTTGGGTCTATGTACGACTCTTTCTTCTCTTTTTAATGAAATGATACGTAGCTCTCCTGCGTGTTCGAGAGAAAAATATATGTATCATATGAACACAGATTGAACACAGATTTGTTTTTTTTGTCTGCCACTATGAGAATGTATGTGCACATTTGTCTCTCGCATACTGGTTAAATTGTTGATATTGTCATTTGAATTACATCTTTCTGTTTATTCAAAAGAAATCACGAATTTTCTGAAAGAAGGCTTTAAAACTAGGAATTTCATGCTACAGTTTTAGTAGCATTTCAATATGTTTTAGAGAGGAATTATAAGCTTATGACAAGTTGTATAGATGAGGAATATTTCAACCATGCTGTATTCCTTCAGCACTTATTCTTCTTCTGCTCTTGCAGGCAGCACCTGATTACTGGAGGAACCTTGATCCATCATGGAAGCACACTGGTCCACCTATGCGACGTTACTTCCACCCTGATGGCTACCACAGCGTCAGACCCTCATGACACGCCGTGTGGGGTGGCCATGAGTGCACCTACACGGTCATAACGAGCTTTGTCGATGATGGCCAGATCAGGGAACACTACGTGAGAATCAACCGGTGGCCACCAATGAAGGTGTCAAGGAAGGACGACTGGAGCTGGGAGCTATCGAACCACCTCTACCGCTATAACAGCATACCTGATTCCGACAAGAAAGGATGCACTGGGCCTCTGTTCCCAGTTTGGTGAATGCACTTCTATGGTAGCAATCAGCAGTCACGGCTCATGTTGTCGCAGTCTTCTGCTAAATCAAGCTTGCCAGACGTTCGTGACTGAGGACAACTGGACAAGGAATGTGGCATCAGGAGGTTGTATTTGGCAGCTTAAGTATGTATGCAATATAGAAACGCCTAAACAAGCTATATATGTATTATATGTGTGTGTGCGCGCGCGCATGTGTTTTGTGGCATTGTGATGATGATAAACCCTTCGTAATGGTTTGGTAGTAGACTTGTGCGTCGCCTGAACACTTACGTACCTGGGGGTGTGTTGTAAAAATAATGCAAGTATGGAACAAATGTTGTGTGTTTTGGCCTTAGTACTTGTATGTTTGTGGATGCTTTATTATTTAGTGCTCCATCCATTCTAAATTGTAAGTTCTTCTGGTTTTTCTAGATGCATAATTTTTATTATCTATATAAACACAATATATATGAACGACTTATAATTTGAAACTTACAATTTGGAACGGAGGGAATAATAGTTGGAACATAGGTTGTCGGCGTTGTAACATAAAAGTGCGTAGCGTGATGTATATTTGCATCACCACCGCCTATGTTGTTTGCTACCAACGATAGGACCCAGCCAAATATTTCTAATGCCAACGAAACCTGACTATTGTTCTTGGTTGGGCACCAAACTTTGGTAATCTTACTACCATTGTACTAGTTCAAAGGTAAGGAAAATGGTGAAGCAGAAGATGCAGTGGCGGGGGAAGCAAGTCGGTGCTTCGACCTCATTGACGGGATCAGTGTCCTTCCCGTGCGCTACTTTCTCCACCCACTCGACTTGTTTGTTTGAGTTGTAGTTTTTAGCTTTTGGCTCAAAAACCAGTTTAGCTTCTAGTTGTAGTTTTTTTTCTTTTTTCTTTTAGCTTTTGTAATAAATTTTGAGCTTCTTGGCACACAAAAAATAGAAAAGCTACTCAAAACATGTTTTCAACTTTTAATTCATTTCTTCAGAAAGCTACCCTTCCAGATTTTGAAAAACTAACTCACCAGCTAGACTTTCCGCTCTGGCTTTTGGCTACATCAAAAACTGAAACAAACATGTTACTGGATGATTTTTAGTATTCTGATATGGACAACTAAATATATGTTAGTAAATGATGTGGTTTGCTAATGTGAATAGCTTGAATGAAGACATAATGGCATGTGCTAGTGGATGCTGATGTGGACACTTTGTATGGCGAGATAGTTGAATGTGCTAGTGGGATGTTCCAGTGGATGCTGATGTAAACACTTTGCATGGCAAGATAAATTGCTAGTGGGGTTTATCTTTATAAGATATATAGATCAATTAAAAGTTATAGAGATGTTCAACAACTTTCCAAAAAGTCCAAGGTTATCAAAATCGGAATTTGAAGCTAAAAGTTATACCCAAAGTACGAAAGTATGTCGTGTTAAAAACATGACACTTTATAGTCTGATGCTTACAATCCGATGCTCAGATGAACAACCCAATGCTCACAACTCACAAGGCAAAATTACACCTTATAGTCCAATGCTACCAATATGATGCTCATAAAAAGGTGTAAAACGACTAGTTGATGTGGCACCACCGGATTGTTCCGATGCTAAGCATAGGATCAATCCAATGCTCACAAAAAGTGTGCAACGGTTAGTAACATCTAGTTTTGGATGTTGGGTTATATATACCTCATTGCTCGGCCAATTGAGGTGTGCTACAGCTGAGGGAAGTGTGTGGAGAGTTGAGACGCATCTATTTGTGCTTTAGCCACCAAAAGTGCTTAGAAAAATATTAGGTGATTAGTGTAGGAGCTTTGTGAAGTGCTTTGGCAAATTAGACCACCGCTAATGTGCTTGCTCTAGGTTTAGGCCTAGTGTTTAGTGAGATCTGTATACCTCTTACCACTCCGTCTTGCGCGTACCATTGTTGTACATCTGAGGGGCTTTGTAGTCTTGCGAGACCACATCAACCACATTTATGGTGTGGCTTCCACCGTGTACCGGAGGGAACAAGGCCCACGACGATTTGGTTAGAAGCTTGATAGGAAGACGAAAGGGACCAATCTGAGAGAGACCATCCTGGAGACCCACTTGCATGTGGGGAAGGTTGGGGATATCCACGGAGTTACCTAACCGGGAGCTTGGCCCTTGCGAAGGCCTCCATGCGAGGGGCTCCAACGAGGAATAGAGGGAAGCAAGGAGCTTCTGGATACCTCATTAAAAATAACGAAGTCATCGATGGGAGTTCGCATCTCTACCACTCTTTACCTTCTGCATTTATATTATGTACTTAGGTTATGTGTTTTACATTCCTAGCTTAGTCTGATATGCTAGTGATAGGATTGGAACCTAGGTTGCATACTCTTTTGCGGTAGACATAGCAACACACCTAGCTAGCAAAACCTTAGTTGCACATCTGTAAGGGACCGTGACGCCTAAGAGGGGGGTGAATTAGGCAACTTAAAATTCTACTTCTAACTAAGGCCTCTAATTCCACCTAGTCAAAACCTATGCAAGAAAGTAGTCTATCTAAATGTGCAACTACAGTTTTGTTAAGTGTGTTGCTATCTCTACCGCAAAAGAGTTATGCAACCTAGGTTCCAGTCTTATCAACTAGCCAATCAACTAAGCTAGGGAAGTAAATCACACAACTAAGGTAGCAATGTGAATGTAGAAGGTAAAGATAAGGTAGAGATGCAAACTCCCGTCGACGACTCGATATTTTTACCGAGGTATCGAGAAGCGCTCAAGCTTCCCCCTAGTCCTCATTGGAGCCCCTTGCAAGGAATCCCTCGCAAGGGCCAAGCTCCTAGTCGGGTAACTCCGTGGATAGCCGTGGGCCTTCCCCACGCGCAAGTGGGTCTTCGGTGTGCCTTCCGGTAAGCCTCTCCGGACCGCTCCCGGCCGTCTTCACTATCAAGCTTCGAGCCGAACCACCGCGGGCCTTGTTCCCTTTAGTACACGGTGGTGGCCACACCATAAACACGGTTGGTATGATCTCGCAAGACTAAAAGCCCCTCTGATATACAACAATGGTACGTGCAAGCACCGAGTGATAAGAGGTATGCAAACCTCACTAAACACTAGGCCTAAACCAAGAGCAAGCGCATAAGCGGTGGTCTAATCAACCTAAACACTTTGTAAAGCACCTATGCTAAACACCTAATATTTCGCTAAGCACTATGCAAGTGGAGATCACTAAAATGGTGTAGCAACACCCTTGGTATGTTTTCTTAACTCTCCACACATGTCTTGGCCGGTTGGAGGCATATTTATAGCCCCAAGTGAGAGAACTAGCCGTTGGAATCAAAACCAATGTTTCTGCTAGTGATTGGAAGCTGCTATCGTCTTGACCGGACGTGTCCAGTCTTCCCGACCGTTGGAGCGCACGCATTGATCAGACTCAGTGCTGAGTCTGGTCATCATCGACCGGATGCGTCTGGTCTCATTTACGCCGCTTTGGAACCTCTTTGGATATGATCGGACGCTGCTTCTTGGTGTGTCCGGTCACGTTGAGAACGTTGTCGTGACGATAAACAGTGCCATCGTTGCATCCGGTCACTTTAATTCTTCAGCGTCCGGTCACTATCTTCACACCGCGGTTGCTCTGGCAACTGATCGGACGCATCCGGTGCCCTAGAGGCAGCGTCCGGTCCTCATGCCGAGACTTCATTTACTTGTTTCTTTGCGATCTTGGCGTCTGGCTTGGTTCCTATCTTCATGCTTGGACTTCGCTTGATTTCTTTGGTCTTCTCTTGTGCTTCTAGGGTCTTGCTTGAGGTATTAATCATTGGATCATCACGTTGCCTTTGTCCAAGTCACATTTGCACCCTATTGGACTACAAAACAAACACTCAAAAACACATTAGTCCAATTTGGTTGTGTTGGTCATCAAACACCAAAATCCAAAGTAAATGGGCCAAAGGTCCATTTTCCTTACAATCTCCCCCTTTCTGGTGATTGATGACAACACGACCAAAGCAAGCAAATAATAAAAGCTTTAGAATTTAAAATCTATCTACTTGCTAGGATGCAATGCAAAGGGCAAGGATATATGATGCTAAGAGATACCATTATGTAATTACAAAGAATGCTTATCTTGCCCTTATAAATGTCCCCCAAGTGGCATTATGGACTTAAGCCTCCATAATCCACTATACTCCCTTTCTCGAACCATTACCACTTATATTTTGTTATGATCGGACTTGCTTTTGGTCCTACAATTTCTTCCCCTTTGGAATCAAACACCGAAAAGGAAGATATTAGTAGCACAAGGGAGGGTCAAATTTTGTGATCCTTTATATGTGGGGCGGAATAGATCACAAAACTTGACTCTCACATTACATAGACTAAGCTCCCCCTAAATATATGCATACATATGGTGGAGGGTGAAGTATATGCATAATTGGCAAAATAATGCACAAGGGAGTTTAATCTATATAATGCATGGAGAAAACATATAAATACCAAAGTGAAATCAACATAATGATATTGGTTTAGAAATGCCACATGTAGAGACCACTTGTAATGATCTTACTTGTAAATGGTGGTGGATTTAGAGCATGATGCTTATCTCCGGGGATTCTATTTTCCTTGCAATGAGACTACTACATACATGATAAGCTTGAAATAGTGTTAGTCTCAAAGCATCCAACTTGTAGAGTAACCTCCCCCTAAATTTGTGCATACAAGCATGGAATACTTGTAGGAGACATGCACATTGATTTTTATAATAAAAAATACCACTTGAAAGATGACATCTCATGAAAGTGAGAA